AGGGGAAAAAAGATCAAAGGTGAGTTCCTATTATAGATATTGTTTGTGATGTATTTTTTCAGTTGCCACCATATCTAGTACAGTTTTTCATAGCAGCATATGCGGATCTGTTTCATTCTTCTTAAATTCTGTATGTGGTAGCCATCATGTGGTTGTGTAGTGGATTAATGCACAAAACAGTGGAGAAGAGAGTATTATAAATAGAGAAAACTATGTAATTGCTCTGAAGCAAGAAAGAGTTTCATGTGTTTAAAGAAGTATAAAAGTTCCTGGAATATAGAGAGATGAGATTGGAAAGATAGGGACCAGATCAGGCAAAGCCTTGTAGGCAGTGGTAGAGTGTGGATTTGATTCTGAGTATAATGGTAAATATTTCAGGGTTTTATGCAGGGCAGGAACATCATCTAACATTGCTCTCACTGTTCTGTCAAGAATATGTTGGAGAGAGGCAAGACTAGAGACAGGGAGACCAAGTAAGGATGTTGCAGTAGCCTACGTGTGACATGAAGAAAAGCTGAAGACCACCAGAACTTGCTATTGCATTGGATGTGAAGGGTAGAGAAGCAGGAATTTCAATACCAGTGAGTAGAGAAGGTTGGGTGGGGAGGGAGTGAGACAAGTAAGTACACAGTTGAATTGAGAAATGTCTGTGTTTTAGGAGTCGTCTAATTTTGGATATTATATAAAGCCAGACAATAGATGTGATGACCTAGGGAGAGAGGTGGTATGAGGCCTTGAGGATTTTAACATACAGAGATTAGGTACAGGGGGAGAATTCGGCAAAGGAAACTGAGAAGGAGCATCCAGTGAAGTAGGTGGAAATCAAGTAGAGTGGCAACTCTTTGAAGGTTTGGCAATAAATAGGAGCTGAGAAGTAGGGTAGTAGCCATAGGGAGTTGTGGAATCAAAGGAAGGTTTTTAAAAGATGGAAAATATTAGAGCGAGTATTTTTATATTTATGTGAATGATTCAGTAGAAAAGCAGCAGATTGATGCAGAGAGAGTTAGCCGAAGGAGTGAAGTCCATGACGTGGAGAGGGATCACCAGCGAAGGGTTGGCCTTTGATGAAAATGGGTACTTTCCCAGTTTTAACAGGAGGGAAGAAGGAGATGGTGTGAGTACACAGCTTCAGGTAGGTTTTGTAGATTTGGTGGTAGAAGGATGGCCTAAGTATGTCTGTTGCCTATTTTTAAAAATCTGGTTGCTTATCTTTATTACAGATATTTATGTGAGCTTTTGCAATGAGTTGTCGATATTAACTCTTTGTATTGGAAAGACTTTTTCTGTTGTGAGACTCTTAATACTCAGCCTATTAAATTTGGAAAACTGATTTCTGTTGAACAGTGCTTCCTTTAGTGTGACTTTTTTTTTTTTAATACTTTCAATTACAGCAAAAATGGAAAGAGGTGGCACAAGATTGTACAAAGGCTGTTGAACTTAATCCCAAATATGTGAAAGCTCTCTTTAGACGTGCAAAAGCCCATGAAAAGCTAGACAATAAGAAGGAATGTTTAGAAGGTGAGAGTAATTTTGTGTTTACATACAAAAATTACTAAAGTCTTTGTAGTCATTGGTAAATATATATGTTACTCTGTCTTGTAAGTATAAAAATCAAGTTGTCTTTAAAAGTTGAACTTCTCTGCAATTGAGACTTTGCCTTCTATTAATAGTTTAAATTGAGATTGCTGTACTTAAGTATTGTCTCTGCTCTCAACTGTAGAATTAAATGAATATTAAGATTTGGAGCTTATATACTACACATGAACTTGGCAACTGATGAACATTAGTATAATTCTGTGAATAAGGATGTCTGAAAAGAGGTTTTAGCAAGTGATAGTGTTTCTAAGATTCTACATGTTTTCAGTTACTATCCTCTATAAATATGAAATAACTGAGATGAATCATTAAAGAAAATGTTAGTTTTTGCCCTTGGTATTTTCAAACATTATTTTATACCCAATTAGAAATTTATATAATTTGGTACAAAGCATCAAAGTGAATTTGTCATTCTCAGTAAATGCTGTAAATATTCTACAGCGTCTAATTGGCCATGTCGGCTTCCAAAACTGCAGTTAAAGTATAGGCTGCTGGCTTTCTCTCTCTCTCTCTTTTAGAGAAAGGATCTCACTGTGTCACTGAGGCTGGAGTGTTGGGGTGTGATTGTAGCTCACTGCAACTTTGAACTCCTGGGCTCAAGTGGTCTTCTGGACTTATCCTCCCCTACAGGCACATGCCATTACACCTGGCTAATTCTTAAATTTTTTTGTAGAGAGAGGGTCTCACTACATTGCCCAGGCTATTCTCGAAATCCTGGCCTCAAGCAATTGGCTACCCCTGTCCCTCAGCCTCCCCAAGTACTGGGATTACAGGTGTGAGCCACCACTGTCTTTTAAAGTACATCCTTCTAGATGACATGAATCTAGCAAAATGTAATTTCTGCAGTCTAAAAGTTCTTTCCACTACATATTTAAATCTGCTTTAAAAGCATCAATAATAAGATTTAGCCATAATTATTGTTGTTTAAAATAGTACTTTTTAAAAAAATTTAGCTTACCAAATGAGGATGTTTTAGAGAACATTTTAACAAAATTTGATGTTTTGTGGTGGCACATACTTTGGTAGAGGGTGGAAGGAGAGTTGCTTTACAAAAGGGAATCCCAAGTTTTAAGCCAGACCTTAAAGTTACTAACAGATAATACTTAGCAGAGAGAAGATTGATTGGGGTTTTAGATAGAAGAAATGGGATGAGAAAAAGACATTGACATTGGTACTAGCCAAGGTTATCAGAGGAATGTAACAGCAGATAGACTTGTTTGGAGGAGCAAGGATGTGGAATTATAACAGACTGAATTTAGAAAGAGAGGAGACAGCCATTGTTTGAATAGTTTGAATGCAAGATTGAGAGGTTAAGGAACCACTGATCTTTTTAATTCAAATAACTGTATCTTGAGCTGTGGCATTACCAAATGAAAGTGATATTTTGAGGCAGATTTGTTTGAGAGCTCTGTGGCAAGATCCCTTAAGAGACAAGGAATAATTCTGAGGCCTATAAAAAAAGACCAGACATGAGAGAGCCACACTAGAGTTACTGGCCAGAAGAGAATATTCCTGAATTCCTTGTTTTATTTGCTGTATCTAGAATATTAGAGCAGTGAGAAACATTAGAAATCATGCAGTACAGCCCCTTTCATTTCACAGGTGAGGAAAGGGAACCCCATAGAAATGGAGTGACTTTTTGAGCTTTCAATTTGGTCACACAGTATATAAAATTAAAGTATTAAGAACCATTTTAGCCCCTGGCATGGTGGCCAGTGCCTATAATCCTAGCACTTTGGGAGGCTGAGGTGGGAGGATTGCTTGAGGCTAGGAGTTCAGGACCAGCCTGAGCAAGACACAAGACCCTGTCTCTACAAAAAATAGGAAAATTAGCCAGGCCTGATGTACACACCTGTAATCCCAGCTACTTGCGAGGCTGAGGCAGGAGGATCACTTGAGCCCAGGAGTTTGAGGCTGCAGTGAGCTATGATGACGCCACTGCACTCTAGCCCACGTGACAGAGAGAGACCCTGTCTCCAAAAAAAAAAAAAACAGTTTATTGGAAATGAAACAGCCCCATCAGGCCATGAATTTATTTTGGCTTTCTGCAATTACATTGTATCCATCTGATGATGCTGACCATCTTTACAATAATTTCATATTTACTTTTGTGTTCACCATCATTTCTAGATGTCACTGCTGTGTGTATATTAGAAGGGTTCCAAAATCAACAAAGCATGCTATTAGCCGATAAAGTTCTTAAACTTCTTGGAAAAGAGAAAGCCAAAGAAAAATACAAGGTAAATGAATCTATGTTGGGTAATAGAGGGGTAGTACTTTGTACATTGCGAAGGGTCATTTCTGATTTATGCTGCTTAAACTTGGCCATAGTAGTAATGGTAACAACTGAAATTAGAACTGGGTTATATTTCTTTCTTCTGTAATCTTGGGCTTTTATGACTTATCCTTTTTCAATAAGATTATAAGTGTGTCCAGTACTGTACCTGGAGAATATTGGAATTCATTTATATTAGGGGTTGCCACACTGTGGCCCACAGGCCAAATCCAGTCTGCTACCTGTTTTTGTAAATAATGTTCAGTAACTGACTTTGTTTTTGGCTGCTTTTGAACTACAACATTAGAGTTGAGTGGTTGTGACAGTGACTGTGTAGACTGCAAAACCTAAAATATTTACTATCTGTCCTTTTCCAGAAAAATATTTGCCATCTCCTATTCTATATCATTAAAGTTTTTAAAGGTGTACTGTATAAGTGGGCATTGGTTTTAGGCTGTTAGTAACAGATGGTTTAATTCAATAAACATTTAATAAAGCTCCATGCTGGGCATTTTGGAGGGGTGGGTACAAAGATATGGTCCTTGAGAGAGAATGTTACTAAGTATACAAAAGGCATGCTATGGTTAAGTGTCCCAGGAGATATGTAAGTGGAGTGCCGTGAGAGAACCACAGGCATCACTAACCATTACTGAAGATTTGCTGCTAAATTTCAGTAATATTGAGGCAATTGTTACTTTTTTAACATGCTTTTCTCTTAAATTGATTTTAATAATCTGTATTTTTAATTTTACATTTCTGAATATTAGCTGAGTTAAACAGAGTTGAAACAGTTTTCTTCACTACAGGACTTTAATGTACTAAGATGTGTTGTGAATTTCCAAGAGTGATGTAGCTGTAGTGGTTGTCAGTCTCCTTAAACTATGGAATTTCTTTTTTTCCTTGAGTGTCTCATAAGATTGGTGCTCCTCAAAAACATTTTGTGAAACATCGTATTAGAGCTTGGAAGGAACCTAGTTTCCTTATACATATTGCTGAGTAATTAGACTGGTTGTATTGCAAGGTGGTAAGAAAATATAAAATGACCTATATTTGCATAGGTTACAAATTCATTTCCATGTGTATTTTCTAATCTGTATGCTACTTTGTAAATCACAAAATACTTTTCATATTATTGTTTTGATTTTTATAACAACCTTGTAAGATAAATAAGGCAAATATTTCTATTGCCATTTTAGTGATGAGAAAACTGAGAGTAGATGTTTAATGACATGAGTAATGTCACATAGCTAATAAGTGACAACTAGAATTTTTGTATTCTGTTCCTTTGATACTTAAGTCCATTACTTGTAATATATTATTTTCGTTTTAAATTTATAACCCTGTGTGGAAGGCAGGGTGGTGATAGCTTCATTTCTAAGCTGAAATAGGAAACTAAAAGACATGAATGATCTACCCAGCTTCAAGTCAGTGCTATTTAAATTTCTATTTAAGCCTTCCCCCTAAAATGGTAAATGATTGCCACTATATTCCTTCTCAGAACGTCTTCAATGAAATACTAAAGTTAGGCATATTTATCACTTGATGGGTGACCATTTGATGAAAAATGTTTATATTATCCTAAGTTAAGACAAACTGAATGTTTCCCCCAGAGAGTGCACAAAGATAAATATGGGTTTTCCTCAGATTTCTTTTTTAATTGTTTTTTTATGCCCCTTTCATCTACCCTAGATTAGATCATTTGCTTACAAAGCCAGATTCCTTTTTTCCTCCTTCAAATACAAAGACATTAAATCTACCAAAATAGCAGTAATGATATTTGGTATACATAAAACATTTAAAATACCATGTTTTCTTTTAAACTCTTTGGGTTGAATTTTGTAGATAAAGGATCCAAAATATATTATGAGAGCCCTTTGGCTGTGTTATTTCCTCTTCATTTAA